ACGAAAGACCATCGTACGTATCATAAGTTTACCAGTCTCACAAATCGTTTTCATAAATACACATTCGTTAACCGTTTATTAATAGGACCTTTAAGCTAAACTGTAATTAATTAGTAGTGGAAATAATTTCTGGTTCGCATTACAGAAATGTAGCAGTGACAATAATACTGTATGCTGTAATCGTACTGGGCAATTAGTGATACAAAAAACCTGTTTTATCCTGTGAATAAAAGTATATGTTTTTGTCAATGTACCATGGTAATAAATGAAGCGAAACGCAATATTGTGTCAGGACAATTCACTATTTATGCAATAAACAAATGAGCATAGCGCCACAATTTCTGTTCAGCACCAGACTTGCTTGTAACCTATATTACTAATTATGTTATAAAAAATGACGTATTAACTACAACAGAAGACTGACCTTTGTGGAAATGTTTGGAGCAAACTAACCTGTGAGCTGGATGTTCTGGGACATTATATTTGGTCTTTGAATGGCTGTAATCCAGGCCATCCGTCGCCTCTTTTTACTTCGGAAACATGGCTCGAACAATTTCTCTTCAAAGACGTAATCCGATAAAAAAAACGATCTCTTTACCCGCTGGCTTCCCGTGGCTGTCATGCGACCGGCTATTGCAGTTAATAATACAGCAGTTAATAATACAACAGCTTCTTGACAGTGTTTCTTTTTATCGCTGTGTAACTGATTTCAATTGAAAGCCTGCGTGCGCTAGTACCTCTTGCCACGAGTTCCCAGAATTCTTTGCGGTTTTACCCTTGAATGACGTCACATTTTCAATCTCTATACATAAACTGTTGTGGGCTTTCTTTATCATGTTGCTTTGTGTTACTTAGTTTCTGGAACAATTCAGTACTGCTCTTATCTCTAAGGTGTGCTTTAAAGAACTTTTTTAACTCAGCAAAGGTCAGGGTGTCTTTGGTCATGAGCATGGCTTTAAAGGTACCAGGCTTAATTATCTTGAGCACCATTCTTAAGACCTCAGCTTCTGAGAACCCCTCAGCCAGACCTTCATCAATTTGTTTACATAGACAGTTAAAACTCAAATCAGAAGCTGAGTCTGAGATTTTGGGGGGGGGGCTGTTTTCCCCAGTTTATGTCTGATACCAGATTTTACTAGAATGCTATTTTCAACTTTCTACACTCACACTATCTGATGATCAGTGCTTTGTAATCAAGTGCATGATCAAAAGTTTCAAATAAAGAAATTTTATTTGAAGAACCTGGTTGCTATTTTGCCTTTTTCTTCCTTTGAAACGAGTAAAGGTGTACTTTATCACATGGTCCTTCTGCATTCTTAAGACCTGATGAAGACCAGGTGATTATTTATTACATCACTATGTGGAAAACCTTAGAATAAAAGACAGTGAAATTAATTTTTTCCATCTTTTCCATTGCCCTGACAACCACGTACACTTCAGTAAAAGTAACTTTTCAAGTTTTATCTACTCAGTTGTACTCGTGATGGCAGACACATCAGCACACAAGTAGAAATGCAAATGCCATGTGGGTGACATGGCCCCCATAGCGTGGGTGCTATGGTAAAACAGAACTATAAATCCAGCTTGAGGTGTTTATGTAAACACTGAAACAGGTTTGCTTGCTGCAAACATTCACACTGGATCCTACATTAAAGAACTCTGGTACTCTGGCTTCCTCCCACAGTCCAAAGACATGCAGTTAGTGGGGTTGGGTTAATTGGTGACTCCAAATTGCCCATTGGTGTGAATGTGAGTGCGAATAGTTGTCTGTCTCTATGTGTTAGCTCTGCAATAGACTGGCAACCTGTCCATGGTGTACCCTGCCTCTACCCTGGTAGCTGGGATAGGCTCCAGCCCCCCTGCGACCCTGACAAGGAGAGAATGGATGGATGAGTGGAAGAAAGAAATGATGGGTGACAAAAATCTTTTACTTTTTTAAAAATCTTTTTTTTTTTTTTTTAGATCCAGGAAGATACAGAACGGATAATATTTTATAAAGTACGTCAGTTATCTTTAAAAGGGAACACAATGATGCCTTTGGTAACTTACCACCATCTGCTGAGCTGTGATACAACTTCATACTCTCTCATTTATCTTTCAGATAAAATCCCCTGAATATTGTTGAAAGACTCAAAAATGTTGTCAAAGTAATAAGATTGCCTTTTAGGTTTTATTAGTCCAAATATTCTAAAGCTTTAAGCTAATAAAACCTAAAAGACTTAAAAGCAAGTCTTTTTGTATATTAAACACATTATTTCATTCAAATAACTTAAACTAACAGCTTCAGAGGGAATGTTTTAATGGTAGATCATTTCCACATGACAATGACACAATTAAAAATGTTCTCACGTCAACCTTTTTCCACAGTTTTCCCTTAAGGTAAGCTGGATTTAAACAGGTTATTTTTTGCACCTTCCTACCATTCATGTAACACTTTTCCATGTAAGAAAATACAGCATTTTAAAACATATTTGGCAATACAGAAGCAAACCCAGTAAGATTTCCTCCACAAAGAAATTTAATAAACTTTTTATGCTGACACGTGGATATCCTAGCCCTCCAACCCCCCAACATTTTTTTTTACTAAAACAACCCAGAATGTTAACAGTCTATACAGCTAAAGGGCATAATTAATTCTGAAAAAACATTACAATCTTATCATTGGAACAGTGTGTTTTCAGCTAACAAACATCTCCTAACTAAGCAAGATAAAGATAATTACATAGTGGAGTAAGGAAAAAAGGAAGGGCCATTTCTGAATAGTTTCGTACTGATACCAGGTATCAAGTCTTTAGGAATTACCAATTAAGCAAATTACATCCTAAGGAAGGCAAGCACAAGTGCCTGTTGCAGTTCTTCATTTTACAAGGCTATTTACTGTTGCTTGTCTTTGGCTCAAGGCCTAGTGATCAAACAGAAGGCACTTTCGTTGGCATTGGTGATGCAACTAACATGGCAGTTTTACCTCAGGGCCTAAATGAAGATTCGTGAGAATGTAGCAAAGATTATGCCTTGACCTTGATTTTAGAGTTACATCATCAAGGAAATGGTGATCCTTTTACCTGGCGAAGATTTCCCAAACTTTTGAATAAACATCCATCAAATTTCTTTCTTGTAGTTTTAAAGTAACTTTACACAAATGGTGTAATGGGCTTTCATGACTGGAATCTTAGATATTGTACGCTTCTCAGTTCTATATCAGTACTCACAGGAGCCATACTTTTTAACTAGTAATCTGTCAGTTATTTAAATAAAAAAAAAAAAAAAAAGACTTCTGTGGATTCACTTGCACAAAACTTATGAGCGTGCAGAAAAAGGATAAAAGAGTGTGGTTGGTAACCTCGTCCAGTGCTGAAATGAAAAACAACCTGGCATAAGCCAGGAAATACTGTAGATAAGGAAGTTCTTACCGAAGATGTACTATGATGAAACACTAACATTTAAAGGACTTAAATGGTATTCGCTTCTTCTTCCTTTCTTTTTTTTTTTGCTATTTTACCACCAATCACATTTACATAACTGGCAACCATTTTTCAAAGCAAACCAATATTTGAATGAGGTCTCCTATTCCAGGCAGCCACTCATCTCCATTCTGTTTTATGCAGCATGGAAATTCAATTTTCACCAGTTTTCATACTGGCATAAGGGAAACCTAAAATTCCACTATTAGCATTACCCAAGTGGCTAGAGGTGATTTGGGTTCTGAGTAATTGATTCATTTTGAATCTTGCTTTAAAAACTTTAAGAGCATCATCAGATACCATCAGAATCAAAGTGAAGTCTATATTAAAGTGGCCCCATATGCTCTTCTCTTTGACTCCATTAGAGTAGCTTTGTGTGACTTATAGTTCAAAATAATCCTCATTTATCTTAGCCCCTTAGTTCATCCATATGTTCAGGATCCCTCTGCCCTCATGAACAGAAAGTTTGAACCAAGTGTGTGGATCTTCTGCGTTCATCGTCTGGACCATCAGACTGAGACGGCCACATTAGAGAATGCCACTCTCATTCATACCATAAAGAGTCAAGAGTGGGAAAATGACCCAACACCGGCTCTTTAGAGCAGTCTGAAACCTGAGCTTTTGTCTCACAGAGATTACTTGTACATTGACCTCATTATTTAAAACTTTGGCCACGTTTAATACAAGCATCCACCACTGTAACAGTGTTAGCATCACAGGTCCATTTTAAGCTAGTAGGCCCACACTGGACATACCCAAAAAAACAAATCTCAACATGACTGTAAAGGATTAAAGGATCATCATTTCACAAAGAAACAAATGTCTGCCTGGAATGCAGGAAAAACTATAAGAAATTATTATAAAGTGTACCTTGGAAAACAGAGGCGTAGTAAATGAGTCCCAACATGCAAGAACAGAAATTATTTCACCAAAAAAAAAAAAAAAAGAAGAAAAAGGGATCACCTGAATTTCCATTTTCATACACAACCAATGACTTTGTGATTTATCACATCACCAGTAGTAAATCACTATAATGACTCGTGACTATGACAGTTGCTATCAACACTTGAAAACCCTCAGAACGATGGAACAGCTTTGTACGAGACCCTGAATTCTACTACAGAGGAATGGAGAGGATCAGGGATGAAACTATTAACAGGCTGCTTTATGACCACAGATGAATCACATTATTACACTTTTTATGACTCTTACTGATCTTTGACAGTGGGTGCAAGATTGTCCGATGGCCAACATATGCTAAAAGCCAGGAGACGGTGTACCGTGCACGTGACAAACAGGATACTTTTAACAGTGGAGTCTGGATGGAAGGGAGATGATGGTTCTACTCCCTCGTTTCACTACATGCTGCGCTTGCCTTCTCCATGTCTGCTTAGACCTTCCAATGGTGGATTAGAACAAACAACAGTGATCAAGTTATCTTTTTCTACTGGAACAAAACCCAAATAACCACCCGTGTGGTTAACACGCTGCTTGGTTTTCTTACAGATCTCCCACCAATCACAAAGTAGTGCATTTTCCAAGTTTTGTTCACATCCTGCAAATGAACTGTAACTCAGCTTGGCAAGATCACTGTTACTGTTCAAGTGATATCACATGTATACAAAAGCCCAATGAACATTAATGAAGCGGGAACAGAAAAATAAAGAGTTGCTTCTGCCACTAGGCCGCTCCTGCCCTTGAACAATCACAGTGTAGCAGGCTTTGCTACCTTTATGAGCCTATTAGGGAGAGAGAAACACTTTACTGGTATCTTAATTTACAAAATTATGATCATAAAAATAAAGCCTTGGACCTGTGACAATAAAACAATGAGGAAAAAAATCTGATGCAATAATATGACATCCCCCCCCCCAAAAAAGGAAAGGTAATTTACCGTAACACTCCTTTAGGCACATAATTCTTTATGGGTTTCCACTCGTGTGGTGGTCAGGAATGCTTTATCCACAAGAACAACAACAAAAAAAAAAAAGAAAAAAAAAGTGAGGGTGCCTTTACTCAAACCTGGCAAAAAGAACCCACAGTTCCATTTTGAAAGACTTGTGTCTGTGGCTTCAGATGAAACAACCACGTACAACAAAGAAATTCACACACAGCTGAACTGCACACCCGACCAGGACGACAGGACAGAAGACATCCCGAACGCATCTGAAGTCTGACCCACCAAACTGAGACCCTGATCACTTATTTGTAATTTTTTTAATCCAGATTTTCTGTTGCTTTGTTGGTAGTTTTTTCATTTTTCCTTAAAGGTTTGTGTCGACACTAAATCACAATCTAGTCTGGAATATTGCTCAGCAGCTATGTACAGAATTGCAAAACAAACGTTCTGACTGATCTACACACACACACGCACACACACACACACACACAATACATCTCACACTGTGCCGTGTTTTATTTTAGTGGTCCTCTTCAAAAAGAAATATACTAAAAAGTGTAAACATAAAAAAATAATAATACAAACTGTTGCCCCCTTCTCATAGAACCTGATCTGCAACTAAACGATAACCTAGTGAGTGTTTCTTCTGATTTTGGAACCCAATATTCGGCTCCGAGTTTTAGTGCAGATGAGCTGTGCAGCAATAGGAGCTTTCCAACCATTTCAAATCAAGCACCCTAAAAAAGGTCCTGTGTTTTTCTTCCACTTTCCAATTGTTGTTCAAATGAGAGCTGTCCTCTGCCTCTGGTTGTTTGCGTTGTTGTTGTTGTGTCCTCACCTCCCCCAAATCCGAGCATGCACACATACACATGTACGCGCACTTTCACTCACACACACACACTCCTCGTGCCTATGGTACAACAACTTTTCTCCGTGCCCCTGGTACACTGCGCAGAAACACCTTGCCCCCCCCCCCACACACACACACAGAGCCAGCCCCTTCCTTAAGTGAGTTTAAAATGTTAAAACAAGGAAAAAGAAATTAATGGAGAAAAAAGAAAAGAAAAATCATCTTTCACTTACAAATCCTTCCGTGTTTGCAATCAACTATGAGTTGTCAGGCCCAACATTTAAGTTAAATTTCTTCATTTTTTTTTTCTTTTTTGAACACACAGCAGAATAAACATTGTTTGGAAGCAAGGTCTCCTGGTGGCAAGTCAAATGTTCAGAGGTCACATTTCTTTTTTTTCTCTGTTTGTTTGTTTCTCGGGTTTTTCTTGCCGTTCTTGGCAGCTCAGTCCTGCTTGGCCTGTAGCTGCTGCTTCCAGGCCTCATTCAAGTAAACCAATCGCTTGTAGTTGAGAATAAAGAGAATGAAGTTCAGCGCGTATGTGGTGATGCAGATGATGCAGAAGTCCTTTAGGACAAAGTAGAGGATGTAACCCAGGTAGAGGGACCCAACCACCGACAAGATGGATGTCGTCATGAGAATGAGGGCGGCCATTGCACTGACAGTCATTCCTAAGGCAAGAAACACAAATTGAGGCTTAAACAGGTAACCATTAAAAAAATTAATAAAAAAAAATACACCTTCACAATCTCCTGAGAGAGCTCTTGTCACAGAGCTTTCAGCCTCAGGCACTTCTGCATTTATATTGTGAGTCCTCGTGACGACATTCAGCCCGCACACTGAGCCAGCCGGCTGCTCATGTCATCGTGCTGTCACGTCCTTATTTCGTCAGTGTCTGCACTTCTTTTACACCAGGTTTGTACTCATAGGAGTCACTACTAAACACACAGGTATTCTCTTTTGCTACCGTTATTGTTTTAGACATTTATCATCATTATTTTGATCAAACGATGGGATGCAGCTTTGGTTCAACAATCACTAACAACCGGGAACAACATGTTAAAAAAGCTGTATTCGATTCCACCAGCCTGCGGTGATAAAAACAAGGATTTTTACACATGTACTGGTAAAGTTACTGCGTTTGTCAAAAGAGTGTAAGGACTGAATGATGGGAGGAAAGTAGAGCTGGGCGATAGAACGATAACGATATGTAATGCGAAATAACTTTTTCTCGATAGAAAAATTAAACTATTGCGATAGGCCTCACTGCTCTTGTCCTCTTTAAAAAAAAAGAAAAAAAAAGAACAGCCAATCCAAATTAAGTAGTGCAGAGCCGAACCAATCACAGCCGCAGCGTCA